CGTGTCTGTCTGTCTGTGTCTGCCTGTCTGTCCGTCTCTCTCTCTCTCTCTCTCTCTCTCTCTCTCTCTCTCTCTCTCACACACGCGCACACACACACACACACACACACACACACACACACACAATCAGAATCAGTTTCAGTCCGGTCCTCTTCGGCTTTCTGAAAGGGCCGGAAAATAGTCAAAAAATCCCCAAACATTTTTTTTGGATGTGGGCCATGAACGACCCCCCCCCCCCAATTTTTTTTTTAATTCCGGACCTACCAGACCGGACGTCCGCCCGGACATCCAGACGCGGACGGTCCAGAATGGGTTCCGGACGTCCGGACGGTAACCATGGTTTGGAGGCAGCAACCGCTTTCCACTACATGATCACGTGCAGGCTGAGGACCAGTCCTATGCAAGTAATCCTAATCTAGGTGACGATCTAGAGGTGGGCCTTGACGAGGAGTGCTTTTCATCCTTCTTGGAGTGTGAAGAATTTGAAGATGAAAAATGAAATGCCATGCCATGAAAAAATCTACCATTACTGACAAGGGACCTAGTCAACTCAATAAAGAAGTCACGAGTTCACCTTCCCCCAGGGACTATAATCCCTGCCCATCCGAAGGTTTCTTCCACTGAACAATGGAGAGATCTTTGAATCAACAAACAATTGTCGGAGAAAAGAATGAAAGGAAAAGTTTGCTTGCTGAGAAAAAGGGTCACTTTGTGCAGCAATGCTATCACCTACAGGGAAACGGGCAGGGGGCATAGAGCAGTTATCAGCACTCTCTGCCACAAGAGAGGATGAGACGGTGGATGAAGGTTCCTCCAAGGAGCTGGAATCAGATCAGCAGCCTACTCTTGATGCCCTGTCTGATGCTGATTCCAAGGCTAGACCTTCTCAAGTCCTTTACAAAGAGCCTTGCGGGGAGACTTGAGAGGCTGACCTTCACTATCACTTGTTGCACTGCACCAAGCTCAGGCAAGGCCGGGCCCAACGGGGAGTGCAACTAATCTACTCCAAGCTCATCACTAACCGAGCTACATCAGTGCATTGATTGATTGTGGTGTGATTGCTAACTCCTTTTTGCCGTGTGGGATTTGTAAGGCAGACCTTGGGATCAAGAAGGTGGAGCAGCAGAACCCTTGGAAGACTAAGGTTGGCAACTTCTACTCGTACGGTCAAAGGTGTGTGCACTACCTTTGACGCAGATCGCACCGTCACACGTGCTGTCAACTATTACATTAAGAGTGTCCTTTTCATGCGGTCATTGGCTTGGGGTCCGCTTCAAGCCCAATGCCAAAGAACGATTTGCAAGGAGCCATGCTTTGTGGTACTTGATGGTATGGGGAACAACGCGTTCAATCCTCTTAGATGAAACGCGTGAGGCCCCAGTGACCTTTTTGAATGTGATGCAATTCTATAGAAATGGGCGCAAATGTGAGAAAGGTGAGCAGGTGTACATAACTTTTGTGAAGCCTTCTCATTGATCCCCTAATTTTTTTTCTTTTGTAAATGCTACTTCTAATGATACACCTACTCCTAGTTCAACACCATGTATTTCTAATCGATCTCCATCCACTCCCAATCCTACTCCATCTACTTTGGAGTCTGTTGTTTTGGCTGCATTTGCAATCTGATTTTACTTCCACTGATTTTGATTCTCAACCTCCAAAGATCCCAACAAACATGCACAACCTCCTAGATCGATTTCCTGATATCTTGGCCAGTACCCGTGTGTCCGATTAAGCACAAAATTAAGCCAGTGGAATGCAGTGTTCCTCCTAAGGGTTTTGTCTACCGCATGGGTCCATCGGAGGAACTAAGGAAGCAGATTGATGACATGACTGATCACGGATGGATCGGACTGAGTAGTGCCTCATATGGGTTGTGTCTACCGCATGGGCCCAACTGAATTGGAGGAATGGAGGAAGCAAATTGACGACACGATTGATTGTAGATGGATCGGACCGAGTGAATCGGAATTTGCTGCCCCTGTTTTCTTTGTTATAGAAAAATGAGGAAATCTCGGGATATGCATTGACAATCAAGGTTTAAACCGGATCACAAGA